CCTTCGGTGTTGCCTTGGTCAGTTCTACTACGATTGCCACACTAACTAAACAGACATTGAGGGATGGAAAAACAGCAGCAAACTTTAGATTGCGTGGATTGGGTTATTTATGCTTGTCTTACCTGCTATCTGACTCGATACATCTCCTTTTGGCTCTTTAGGGAGGGATCCATCTGTAAAAACAGACATAAATTGGATTGTTATGACCAACAAAGAGATAGAGCTTGAGAATAAAAACATCATAAGGAGCAATGGAGAGGAGCATTAACAGGAATATATCTGTTGATGACTTTGGGGCATTATTACAATGCTGTTCAATTCACTGTGCCAAAAAAACATATTTTATATCCACTAATACAGTACTACCAGCACTAACCAGTAGTCCCACTGCTTTGCTGACACTTAAGATCCAACAAAATAAGAACATTCTATTATGAATATGCTAAGAAAACATCAAACTATGAGAGAAAATGGTCATGTTAGCTGTGTGTTGCCTTATTTGGGCAGTGTGATGCAAGCTAAATGCTATCATTAGCATGCTAACATACTATTGTTAAGCAGGCATTTAAGATGAACAAATGTCTTTGTATTGAATGTAGTGAGTTATCATGCTAATATCTGCTCATTGACAAGTAGAACTTATGCAAAATGTATTGTTATTAGTTTCACTGGAATTATTTGGGAACAAACTAAAGTGTAAAAAGGTACAAACGCACCACATAAAATGTCAGGGGATCATAAAAGTCATTATAGTTCATTATGAAGAGGTCATGAATGTCAGCACCTAATAGTATTCCAATCTATTCAATAGCTGTTAATGTATTTTCCCCCCTAAGGACAAAAACTATCAGGCTGACATTGCAATCGGTGCTGGCGTGGCAAAATACAAAAAGTCTGTACCAGCTGCCAGAAATCTGCTGCATTGCTAAACAGCAAAAAGAGAAGTTATATTGCATTACGTATGGCAAATGGAAAACTGTCCAACTGTAGTTTGTTCAGTCAAACAAAAAGCCAACGTATCAACATTTCATAAGCACAGGAAACAGTTTAATTAGAAACACAGTCTTATGAGAAATACAACTGGTGTTAGAAAAACTAGCTACTGTTAGCCTCTACAACATAATCACTAATTTATATTACCAATGTACCAGCAATAGGACATGTCTTGTTGGACCAATGCATGCAGAAGTCATCTTCTCATCACCCTATACCTCATGACCGAGGCCCAGTGGTTTCTCAGTGGATGCAACAATCAACCTATTGATGGAGCCTATCGCCTGCTGTGACTGAGAGGAAGATATGGTCAGTGTCATGTGCTGTCAACATGTAAACAAGCTGGACGCTGCACTGGCTGACTCAGTGAAACACACTGCCTCTGTTCCGAATCAGGCTCACTCCTTCCCGTTTAACACCACAGAGCACGGCATTAAGGCAGAGGGAAGCTACTATATAGGATCTGTCAAGTATCTAACAATATGGATGAAGACGTAGGTCGATTTTTATACTTAACAAGACCTATTGAACATGTAGTAGATGCAGTTTAGGATTGATGCACTGCTTCCATAGCTCTATAGAGATAGACTTTTTTATTTATCGATTAATCTGCACAATTTCTTTGATTATTCCTCTGATCTATACATTTCGGAAATAAGGAAACGTGTCCCAGTTTCTCATAGTCCAAGTTGTCTTTTTCTAATCCAAAAACTAAGAATACTCAGTTTAATGTCATATAAAAACAGTGAACATCAGGATATGTACATGCATGAGAGGCTTCAAAAGTATTTTCTGATAATTTTGCACCTTCACATGTACACACCTAAAATAAAATGCAACATGACACACCCCAACACGGCATCAGTTGTGACAAATTTAGCATCCACTTCTACACGCATGCAAATCAATGGTGATAGCACTCTTGGAAGTACCCGGAAATCTGTTGACATTGCACTCAAACATTTGTGTTGTAAATGTCTGGACTTCCACTGTTGTTTTTTAGTTGGGAGTGGCATGCTGTAATTACAATCAAACCTAAAAAAGTCAAACTTCAACAAATGTAAGTTGATACCTCTTCTGTGTTCAGTTGACTGCATCAGAAAACAACAACCCTCTTGCCTACATGTTTGTACTTGTAAGCTCAAAGAAGTGTGATCCAACTTATTCCTGCTATATCAGATTGATAGACGGAAACCAAAGACTTCTTGTATGACTGCAAGTTGTATGTGGGTCAAAGGATACTGTGGATTAACCAAATAGAAACATGGATTACATTTGGATTTAACTGACTTGATAAATGGACTTAGTGGCTACTGGATCTTAAAATCTGCCCTTGTGTTAGTGGGTGTGTGTTGCGTTTAGGTACCGGTAAAACAAAACAATCCAGAAAGTCCAGTTTGAATAGCAGATTTTAAGGATTTTAAGAAACCAAGACACTGAACAATGATCTGTTTTTTGCCAAGACAAAACTCTGGGAACGCCAACGTCAGGCAACTACTCTCCAATCTCTCATTGTGGCGATCGGGAAAGTGTTCACGTAGCAAAGTATTTACAGTGCTGATGTGAATGGTAGGAGCACATGGGAAACCTTTCATTCCAAATACTGCAATCTGACATACATGTGTATGGCTGCCAACTGCCACAAATAGGGGGGGACTGTCCGTGTCTGTTAACTGGAGGGTCCAGGTTCAAGGCTTGTTACCAGTAAGTATCTGCCTTGCTAAGAACTCAACACGTCTAGCTTCTTATGCAACAGGCCACGACCTCTGACCTTCAGAAGCAAGAGAAAAGAGCAGGCACACATAGACTTTACTTGGGCGGGCCGCCCAGGTATATTAACGGCCGCTAAAGTATATTTCGCGACCCATTTAGGTTTAATCTTTTTTTATCCGTCCGCGAGCACGACGCCATCTGCGATCGATTAACTACCCCTCCTGTTCGCTCTGCTATCGCGCTCCACAGTAACTCCGCTGCAGGGCTCCGGCCAACAGTTGATGGGCGTGCTCCACTATTTGACAATTGGTTCCCTTCTGTAGTGGATACTAGGATCAACTTAATAGACAGCTATGATTTGGCAATATCTTTGCTGGTGGCTGTTTGCATTAATGAACATATAGCATCAGAGAACACAATACATGAGCAGACTTGCCGGCAACAACTGCCAATGCCACAGGGGCTCATGTTTATAAGGAAAAAGCTCATATAAACATGGCCCAGGAAGAGAAGTGCAACGATCTCAAAGGATTTTTTCTCTAACGCTGTTTACCTGGGAACTTAACAGAGAATGAATGGGATGAAGAAGAAAAGAAGGGAAAAGGAAGGAACGAGAAAGACCAAACACCCACATACTTCACATATTTGTAATGCCAAAGATGTCCACTTAAGCCGCAGTGTGCAACATTGTAATACCAGACTACAGTAGTGGTTGCCCACATCTTATCGCAGTGTAAACAATCAGAGTTGTAGCTTAGCCAGAAGTCAAACACTCATGGACAAAAAGGAGATAAAATGCATTGTATGTGTGCATAGAAAGAAGCTGTGAATGGAGACTTTTCCTCTGAGATGGGACCGTTAAAGCAGAGGTTGAATTCAACAACAAGGTTCAAGGTTCTTTATTGTCAAACTAACATAGCTACAGAGTAATTATGTCACAGGCTTCTCCAACAATGCAACACAATGTGCAAACACACACACACACACACACACACACACACAGAGAGACAATTTTGTTGCAGACCATAGTAGGATAAGCCCACCACTAAAAACGTCAGCCTAGCTCTTTGGATAAACAGACACACATCCAACGACAGTTGAGGAACTAAAATGCAATGGTCCCAATCCCATAACACATCCCACCTCTCCAAAACATGCAAACACTCGTACAGTGAACTCACCTAGACCTCCGCTCTGCTGAACACTAGCTTTACTGTATCCAAAACTGAGTTCCCCTCCGCAGACAGCTCCCTCTTGTCCCGACACACACTGCTTCTGTCTCTGAGCCCACGTTAACACAAGACCACCCTTTCTGTGGGCCCCTGCCTTTCCCTTCTCGGCAAGCACACTCATCGTTTGACTCATACGCCAGTAGGAAAGACCCTCTTTCATTTAAACATACCTATTGTCTGACTAAAATGAGGCGCGAGGCACAGCAACAATGAGCAATACCCCTGCTGTCAAGGCTGTCTTTGGAGAGAGTAGACACTGCTGTAGGGGTTTAGCAAACATTTGAATGTCAAGGGCCATGAACAACACATTTCACAATATATTACCTGAGGGATCGCCCTTTTAAGAGTTTGCTGGTGCCAGGTAAAAACTGTAGGTGGTAAGATAATAGTGGGGAGAGCGAAACATGTAGGATGTCAAGTGGTAGGAAATATTGAACTTCAGATGATAATGAAATACTTTTGTGTTTTTGTTATCTCGGTGTAAGTTGGTATTTCACCTCCCAGAGATAACCTCTTGGTCAAACAAGGCGATTAGAGTGGTGAAATTGATTTCTATAGAAGCCATTTTTTTTCTGCAACTGGGGCTCCTCTCGTTGCTATGGTTCGGCTATGATGGTCAGCAGTTCAAAGCTAACTAGGTTTGATTAAAGGCGTTGAGGTACAGGTAGAGAAAGAGTCCCGGTCAGATTCTTAGGCTTCAACCACACTAATGTTTTGAGCAAAAACTCTCATTGGTCTCACAAGCATTTTGGTATAATATCAGAAATAGTCTTGGTCCATACTGACACACCTAAATCGCATATATAATTGTTTTTCAGGTAATCTGGGCATGTGTGTGCAATATGTAGGGCTGATAGGACAGGGTAATTGATGCAAATCTATCCAACAGCGCAACAGCTGCTAGCTAAAACAACACAATTGCTTGTAATTTATTATTCATGTTACATTTACCAATATTAGTCAAGGCTGGTGTTTTATTCAGGAGAAAGGTTGTTTGACAGGGGTGTGATAAATCAGGAAAGGAGACTCAAAAGGAAGCATTTGTAGGTGTCTGCTTCATCCTTTAAAACAGGGGTGTCAAACTCAAGGCCCGGGGGCCAAATCCGGCCCGCGACTTCATTTCATGCGGCCCCACAAGAGCTTGCAAAGAATATCATATGTGTATTATACAGTTACATGCCGCTTTACAGAAGCACATTGCCCATAAACTACATGCCCCACAATGCATCTCAAAT